GTCTGTGATGTGCACAGTGACACATGTCTTGGATGAAAGGGATGGCTTGCCACTGTCGCTAGCTGTGATAGTGACGTTGTACTCGGAGGTCTGTTCCCGATTTAGGGCCTTGTCAATCACTAGCTTGTAATAGTTCTTGGAGGTGGCTTGTAGTTTGAAGGGAAGTTCTTCCTGAATATGGCATGTCACCAGACCATTTTGTCCAGAATCCCTGTCTCGAACTTTAATGAGGGCTATTACTGTTCCAAGGACCGAGTCCTCTGGAACTTGGTTGGAAAAGGACATGAATGTCACCTCTGGGGCATTGTCATTCTCATCAAGAATTTCAATCTCAACGTTGCAGTGAGCCGTGTGCACCCCTCCGTCCTTGGCTTCCACACCCAACACGTATCCACTCTTGTCTTCAAAATCCAAGGTACCATTGGTCGTGATAGCTCCGGTGTTCGGATCGAGGCTGAAGACGAGGTCAGCCCTGGCCGGCCCACTCAGGAAGGCGTAGGTGATCTCTCCGTGAACACTCTCGTCCTCATCTGTGGCTGTCACCTGCAGCACTACGGTGCCCACGGGCACGTTTTCTCGGAGGCTAGCTCTGTAAACGTCCTGGCTGAACGCTGGAGCGTTATCGTTGGCGTCGGTGACTTGGATCCGGATCTGGGCGGTGCTGTTTAGGGGTGGGTCCCCCCCATCCACGGCGGTCAGCGTCAAGTGATGGGAGCTCTGGCGCTCCCTGTCTAGAAGTCTTTCCAGCAGCAGTTCTGGGTATTTGGTACCTTCGGGGCCTTCCTTGGTTGACAGGGAGAAGTGTGGATTAGGGCTGATGGCGTACATCTTCAGCGAGTTGCTTCCCACGTCTGGGTCTCGCGCAGCGTCCAGAGGGAATTTTACCCCTGGCAGGGCTGACTCGCAGATCTCCAACTCAATGCTCTTCCCAAAGAAATGTGGTGCGTTATCATTTATATCCTGGATGGTAACAACCACGTGGAAAACATTCATCGGGTTTTCAGTGACTGATTCAAATTCCAGCGCACACTCAGACTTCCTCCCGCAGATCTTCTCTCTGTCTATCCTGCCACTCACTAACAAATCCCCACTGTCTGCACTAACGCTGAAATAATCCTCTGCACTCACTCTCATTTTTCGAGCTGGCAGTTCCTGGATACTGAGCCCCAGGTCCTTGGCGAGATTCCCCACCCGAGAGCCCTTGGGTAGCTCCTCCGGGATGGAGTAGTGGATGGGCTGGGAGATGGCGCCACAGAACAAAGGAACCAGGAAGTGAAGCAATACCTGATTTGCCATCTCCAAAGCCTCTGGCGTTGCCCTGCCGTTCTGAGCTCGCCGGGAAGCTTCTCTTTGAGGTTTTTCCCTGGGATTTTTAAAAAGAAACCCAGTGCCCTGGGTGTTTGTGATTTGAGGGCAGGGCTTGTCACGCGCTTGAAGGGTGCGCAGGAACCGGACGGGCGTTCTCGGAGGTGCTGGAGAAAGCTGGCTAGCCCTGCTGTACCCCGCGGAACGGAGAACCCTTCTCTTCTCTCTGGTCAACAGCGGCGCCTAGGGGTTGTCTTGTAAAACTGCGTATCGCGCTCACCTATTTTTATCAAAGCTTTTATTTTGACTTTTAATTTACTTGAAGGAACCAGTTATTCACATTTCCCGCTTTAGATATTTTCTTGTTTATCATAACTTCATGAATGTTTTCATCATTATAAAACATCTTTCCCATTTTACAAGATGTATTCTTTCTTTCTTTCTTTCTTTCTTTCTTTTTTTTCCCTTTTTCCAGTTTTGAAGAAAAATGCCATTAGTGACTTCACTGTATGGCACTTACTAACTCAGGCCTGACTGTCATATTCCAATAAACAAGTGAATTTTTACCCTTATTATTCAGTGGACTATGATCTTTACCTTTCTGAAAGTTTATTGAAGTAACTTCTTTATTTAATATTTTAATTTCTGTGTGTATTTTTTTTTATCAATTTGGTAAAACTTTTTAAAGATAGTCTTTGCAAAAGAGAGAAGTGGCATCTCCAGAGATCTCTTAGTGCACGGATCGTCTTTTCAAAGCATCCTATTTTCAATTAAACACACCAAAGCCTGATAGCTTACTGAAGGTACCAAAGTAGCATTTGGACTTTTATTATGGTGAATTTTGTGTAAGCCATATTTATTTTTTTATGAAAATAAGCAATACTCCATAAGCCAAATTCTTAACTTCAACCAGTTAAATTCTGTTACTCAATAGAGCAATTGATCGACAGTAACTCTTGGTTAGACATTGACAGTCTTTATAAATACTTTGTTTTATTATTTACACTTCATTACATTCATTTGTTTGTGTGTTTAGGTGTGTGTATATATGCGTGTGCACTCACGTGGAGGTCAGAGAACAATGTACTGGAGTTACTTCTCTCCTTCCATCATGTAGGCGCCAGGGATGGACTCAGGCTGTCAGACTTGGCAGCAAGCAGCTGTACCCCTCAGCCATCGCACTGGATCTAAACACTCCATTTTAGAACCTGATCCTGGCCTTGGGTAACTAACTCAAACAAGCAACTCCCTTTATTTCTAATGTAGCACCAAAGTGGATGACCACCCTTAATTTCATGTGTTAGAACCTTAATCTCCCAACGCATGGCTTGACAGTGTCTGACAGCAAGACCTTTAGGAAATGATTGAACCAGGAGGGCTTTGTCTTCATTAGTGAAGCAATGAATGGTCGCTGGGTTATCATATAACTGGCTTTATTGTAAAAATATCAGTATCTGACATACTTGCTTTGTTTTTGTCAGGTGATGTCCCCCTGACATGTCCCCCTGAAAGAAAAAGCCCGAAGCAGATGAAGATGTCACGTTCTTGGACACCCTGGCTGCCAACAATCAGATACACAAACATTTATTTTAAAGATAAATCTCCAAGTCTCAAGTATTTTCTAACAGCAGCAAAAATGAACCGACAGTTATCAGTTCAGTGATTTAATTTTACTATTTTGAAGTGCTTAATTATCTCCAGTAGAAATACATTATATTTCCCCCAAGACTTTCTTTCTCTTGTTTTCTCTGTTTCCTGCCCTTATATTCCTTTTCACAAGATCATATATATGGATATTGAATGAGAATATAGTTTTATATGCTTACAGATATTTTCCTCAGGCTCCATTGGCCCACACATTTCAATGTTACAGCTTATATATTAAGGGAGAAATTTGTTCCTTTGAGATGCAATGAAATATATTTTGGTTCATTTTTAGACAACTATCTTTTGTAGCTATAGGAGTAAACATAATTTCATAGGTTTGAGAATGGACCCACAACTTTCTGTCCAAAGAAGGTTCTAGAACACATTTAGGATTCCTCTTTCATTGCTGTAATAGATGGTCTGGAGACGTCTTGCAGAGACTGAGAAATATTTTACTGGTATTTTGAAATGATGTTTTTGTGTTGGCATTGTATATGAAGCTGGGTCTCACAAGGACATTTTTATACAAGCGTATCTTTCACACTGGGTATATGCCCCTGTTTCCCCCATAGTTTCCTTTTTTCTCTCCCTTCCTGTTAGTCCCCCCCCTTTCCTAGTACTTTCACTCTTACTTGCATATCACACACATCATTTTATGTATTTATATAAAACTTAAAGTTCATAAATGAGAGAAGACATGGTATTTTTGAGATTGACTTAACTTGCTTAATATTAAGGCAACTTAATTATCTACAGTTGCATTCATTTTCCTGCAAATGACAAAGCTTCATTTTTCTTTATAACTGAAAATTTTCATTGTATATATGTATATATATATATATATATCACATTTTCTTTATTCATTTCTCTACTGATGGATACCTAGGTTACTTAATCATTGTGAACAATGCTGCAATAAACACCGATGTGCAAGCATCTCTGTGATATGTTGACAGTCCTTTGGGTAAATATTCAGGGGTGATACAGCTACATTCCAGATTTTAAAAACCTTTCTGAAAGGGTGATGACTACCAGTCAGTGGCTCATAATGGTTGAGGTGAATGAACTTTCCACCTTCAGACAAAAAATAGGGACGCAATATAAACACACACATACACATTTTAGTCACCAAGGGTTTAATTATCTGACTAATTTCTACTTTTCTTTCTCAGACGATTCTTGCCATGTTGCATAGGTTGGTCTTGAACTCTAGGCTTGAGTGATGCCCACCGCCATAGTTTCCTAGGTAGCTGCAACTGCAAGCATACTGTTATGCCCATTTCCTTCACTTCCTATCCTATGATTTTTATGTTCTTAAGACGAAAAGGCTGTGGTGTGACTTTGAATGGTTCAGACAGAATTTTATAAGAGCATGAAGTACTTTGTACTCATCCTCTTCCTCCCACTTGTTTGTGTCAGTCAGGATAGGCTAGTGGGCAGGAGTGACACAATTGAAATCACAGGGTATGACAGGAAAGGCAGACTGGGGTGGTCCAGCAGACGGTCACCATGTTCCAAGACTCTGGGTTCTGCCTCAGCACTCAGACAATGAGAACAAAAGTGTGAAAAGTCCATTCATCACAGGTGTAAAAACAACTGGGTCAACTACAGGGCTCTTCTCTCATTACAGTTACTCAAGGACATAGGCAGAAGGAGCAACCACAATTTCAAAGGGTAAGGGAGAGAACCAGAGTTCTCATAATGACCATTCGTGTTTCCTCCGGAAGTGGCATGTTGCTGACAACACTCACAATGTATTGGCCACAACTAGCTACCTGGGCCCACTCAGTCATAACAATGCCAGGAAGGATAGTCTTATCATAGGCAAGTGGGACACAGGATGAGAAAACAGAATGTACAGTTACATTGTCACTTGGCTTCTCAAGTAAATACACCCTAAGGTGTTCTAAGAACCACACTGGCATAAATTTCATAACACTCAAAGAAATAAACTCACCTCAAGCAGTTTGGGGTCTTCTTTTGTTTCAAGTAAATCTTGAGATATTATAAGAGGCTCGCTTTTCCCACAGCTCTCCTGGCTGATGAGCGTGTCTGCGTAGTTGGGTTGCGGGAAGATCAGGTGACTCTTCCTAGAGCCTGCTGTAAGGGAAACTTCCTGGGAATAAGTCTGCAGAAAAGCTTGCACCCCGTCCACGCCCACAAAGTGGGAGGCTGGGATGCCACCCAATCCACCTTCTGAAGCCTGCAGCAGGTGGGATGTGTGCCAGCGCCGCAGCCTGAGCGCCAGCAGCACGATGACAAAGGCCAGGAAGATGCAGGAGACCACAGCCACCGCCACCACCAGGTAGAGTGTGAGGTCTGAGTCTTTGGGGTTAGCAGGGGTATGGATGCTTTCCAGGTCCCCCAGGATGTCGGGGATGCTGTCTGCCACGGCTATGGTGAGTGTGACGGTGGCTGAGAGAGGGGGCTGGCCGTGGTCCTGCACGGCCACCACTAGGCTCTGCTTGAGAGCATCTCTGTCCAGAAGGGCCCGAGCCGTGCGCACCTCGCCCGTGTGCAGCCCCACAGAGAACAGTCCCGGCTCGCTGGCCTTGAGCAGGCGGTAAGACAGCCAGGCGTTCTGTCCTGAGTCTTTGTCCACCGCCACCACCTTGGTCACCAGGTATCCAGGGTCTGCAGAGCGGGGTGCTAATTCCACACCAGTGGAACCATCTATCGGGAGGGCAGGATACAGGATTTCAGGCTCGTTGTCATTCTGGTCCAGCACAAACAGGCTCAGTGTCACGTTGCTGCTGAGGGGAGGGTTCCCGCTGTCCCTGGCTGTTATTTGCAATTGCAGGTCTCTAAATTGCTCATAATCAAAGGAGCAAAGAGCATACAGGACACCGGTATTGGAGTTGATGGAGATGTAAGAGGACAGCGGCACCCCCTGAAGTGTGTCCTCAGCCAGTGAATAAGTGATTTGTGCGTTCTTGTCAGTGTCTGGGTCCTGTGCCGTGACAGAGAAGATGGAGGCTCCCCTGGGATTGTTTTCGGGGATGTAGGCTGAGTAGGAGGCGCGTGTGAAGGCAGGAGGGTTGTCGTTGATGTCTGACACACGCAGAGTGATATGAGTTTCTGTGGACAGTGGCGGGCTTCCCCCATCCGAGGCTCTTAGACTGATGTTATACTGAGACACCTCTTCACGATCCAGAGATCTGGCTGTCACTAAGCGATAGTATTGGTCTATTGATTTTTCTAGAGTAAAGGGCAGATTTCCCAGGATAAAAACTGTGACTTGCCCATTCTGGCCAGAATCTCGGTCATGTACATTGATAAGAGCGATTTCTCTTCCAGCAGGTGCCTCTTCTGGGACCGAGCCTGTGAGGGAAGTGACTGAAACTTCTGGGGCATTGTCATTCACATCCAGAACCGTGACGAGAATCTTGGCTCTTGAGAAAAGACCCGGTCCATCTTGTGCTTCAATTTTGATTTCATAGA